GTCTACCTCTAAGAGTGAGTTGCTCAGTTAAGCGTTTTCTTTTCCTATCCATGTGTGAACTGCTATACACAGCAAATTTACAATGATAAGAATACGGTACAATAGATTATTGATTTTTAGAGTTTGAAAGTATAGTGGATGCTGGATAACGACGGCCTACTTCTATATATTGCCTGAAGTGAAACATCACGGGACATATGATTTGGTTAAATACAGCATTTTAATCTACTGAGGTGCTTGCTCCATGGAGTAAGATCAACAACTATGCCATTTTTCGTTTTGTTTGAGAGCTATGTCATAACTAGTCATAAGTGTGACGAAACGATTCACGATTGACAAGTACTTGGTCTGCATGCCAGCGAGCAAACCATTCACCCAGTTTAAGTTTACTGATGCACCGTAACTTCATGACCGCGCACTGTTCTGAGGTGTACAACGAGGACAGTGGACATGCTGGTCCCATTTTGTCACGTGATCCGAGCAGAAATTCTTAGACGCGATCTTCGGTTCGCAGCTTTCGCGAGAGAGAGATAGAGATTCATGGTACAAATGAACGAGCCGTGATCCGATTGTTGCTGTGGTGCCGAAGTGATGACAGAACGTATGAATTGGGTCCGGGACACGAAAGACATAGTCATGATACGCTGACCATACATATAGTTTGGCATTGGTGCGAGGGAGAACAGAGGCAAATTTGAAATGCTGCTCTGTCGTATAGACTGTCCCAGTATTTGGCCTTGCGGGGATTGCTATGGCGTCAACTATCAAAAAACCTGGTTTGAGCGTGGTCCGAATGATCGGTGAGACTACGTCCGTTTCGCCTAGCGTTAAAGAAACCGGTAAGCAGCGCTTAGTTGAAACTCAAGAAAAACGGTGATTGACAGTTTGAATAGCTCTTTATGGTTGAATTTCCGTCGTCACACAAGGTATTATTACAGGAGGACAAAGGACGAAACCGACATATTCTAATGTAAAAAATATATTATTTCTATTGACCACAGTAACGCCTACTCAACGCAAGAGAGCGAACGACAAGAAATGAATGGGAAATGAAGAGTGATATTGCAATTTTAGTTGCTTATAACACTCCTTTACACGTTTCAGTCCAAATGTATACTGTTGGGAACAGTTCAAGTATCGAAACTTTCTTCGAAAGTCGGCGAAAATCCGTTTTTTGTTAACCAAACACGTGCTGAAGAGGGTACCTTAGATGTACGATATGAGTGTATGCGTGAGGGAAACTGCTGTGTAGGAATCTAGTGGACGGAACGTAACGAAAAACGTAAACCTGTATGCAGTAGATGTGTGGGATCCATAAAAATGTTGTGTGCAAACTTAGTGCATTTATTTGGAAGTAGCAGGATTTCCCATGAAATTCTCTGTCACTTCATCGTTTCACAAAGGACAAAGTCATGCCCTTCGTCTCTATCCGTAAATATTCAAGAGCTTGTGTGTGACATTGGGGCCACAAACGCGAGGCGGGGCAGACAGGATGCGTGTAACATATTTTCTAGCGTAGCCTATAGGTTCCCATCGGTTAGGATTCAAACCATAAGTTGACCATACGAAATAAATTCAGATAATAACTCTTCTGGTTATCAGAATTACCAATAAGATGATTCAACACTTTTAATTGTCAACCATTACTGATGACAGTAAGCCACTGAATGAATAAAACCAAACAACAAATTTCCCAACTGGTTTTCAGGGTACCGATTTCTCTTTGAATTTGAAATACCTACTTTTGCCTCAGAATAACATATTTCGTGATAAGCAGTATATGAACAACTCAACAACGTAACACCACTGGTTCTGCGGTTCTCACCGCTCGTCAGGCATGCGTACCCGGTAATCCTTTGACTTTGCATTCAAACAAATTTCACCCGGTTTTGCAAATGGGGCGATTGCGACCAAAACTTATTTCGTATCTAGGCTTCCCTAATCTCAGCGGTGCCATTATGTGGTTTCTCGATGTTCCTTACGCAATAATACTTCACCTGACAACGAGTAACTGTTTTTATCAAACGAATCGAGTGCATTCCGTTTCGTTCAGTTCTGTGGGTTGAGCCAGGAAAGGGTGAGTTGCAGTCAAGTGGTTTTGGTTGATTAATGAAAACCAGACCAGTCAGCAAAGTTCACCTCAATAACTCCAACCCATGCCGCTGAACAAATGTTGCTATTCCAATGGACCCATGATCCACGTAATGCAAAGTACATCGCTCGGAGTACACCGTAAGCGTAAAAATGGTCTCTGGTCGTAGTGTTGTGAGATACTACTCACTTGTGAGTAGTGATTTATTTCAACGATTAAAAATCAGCAAAATCACCGAGGGCAATTTGCTGGGTCTGAAAGAATAACTGCGATAGTATGCTTCTAACCAGATTTTTGTGTTATGTATTCCAAATGTGTCATTTGTGACCAGCAATAAACAATTATCCTCGACCAGCACCGCCTTTTGGAATTATAACAATTGGTGCCGTGACCAGGATCAAGATGAAGGTTCCGTCGCCTGATACCTTCGAGGATGGAGATATGATGGTGATGATGATGATGATGGTCCTAACCCATAAAGGTAACTAAAGGACTTGTCAGTCGTATGATCACCTTAATGAGTCAGTTGATTAAAGTAGATAAATCACATGTGTGACTACTCGGGACATGATCTTGAAATTCACCTTCATTTAACGGCATAATCTACTTTTTACACATACGCGCACACGTCCCCTTATCCGATTTGAACTTGGTAATCCGCGTGCCGGATACGATCTGTTATCATTCCCGGTCAGGGTATTAATTCTTTTATTTTAGACCCCCAATCAATAAAAAGCACAATTTATGTTTCATGCAAATTTGCTCTTTTCAATCCTCCGTCTAGTAAGCAAGGAACAAAAACATAACGTTCTTAGAAAATAGTTATTCTGTGACGAGTGTGGAATCACATGACGTTTCAATACCAAAATCTTCAAATAGCGGGTTTACCGAGGCCCAAGTGTTACTTACGTTCGAAAATCATCATATGAGACATGGTGGTATCACTGAGACGTTAGGGATACCTACAACTCTAATCGATAATTGTATCAATTTTTTTGCGGGTTCGTGGCCTTCTGGAATACGTACTGAGTGATATCCCGAGGAGTCATTCACATTTCATGTTGCATTGCAAGTTCCGAAGTTCGGATTCGTTGCACAAGCATTCGAAGTGTGAGACACCATAATAATGTTGGTATGTGACGGATACTTTGACCGCAATACAGGTTGAACAAATAAAAATTGCTCATTTCAAATAGAACAAGGAGTGGCGAACAAGCTCGTTTTCAGTGATTCGTAGCCACGCTCAGTTGCCATGATGTCCGTGTGAGGTTTTCTCAAATGCTTATCATAGGCTTCAACGTGCTAACAATTTCTGGATGAGATAGAACTGTGTCAGGATCACCTTTGTTTGATGCCAAGCAATAAGTTATTAGTTTGTATGATAGTAGTTGAGGATTTTATTTGATTATATGATGAATTTATCGTGTAAGTGGGGCACAAGCTGAAAAGCTAGGAGGCACTGGACAACTGTTTAGAACTGGTTGGTTTTTTTCATCAGCAGTGCGAATCCGTCAAACAAACTGGAGACCGAATCCGGGGCTTCACCGGGGCTGGGAGGGGGGGGGGACAGAACGCACGTATACTATACAAGGTGAAACAACGGTCCATTGCTTCCCAGCTTTGCAGCTCACGCTCCGTTGAGTGTTTTTCGTAACTGGCTGTTTTTAGAACTATCTCAGCATGAACAAAACTATTAGTGTACTATACTCTCGTCCGTTGTACAGCTATTCATGTTTGTTCAATGCAATTCACGTTCATTGTTACATTCAGAAACATGGAGCAAGAAACTGACGACCAAATGCACTGAAAACAATGAAGTCAATGAATTTTGGAAATCGAAGAGCATTTTGAAGATTCCAACTGTTTTCAACGATTATGCATAAACGATGAGCATTCTCACCCAATATAACAACAACGAAAATATTTTAATTGAATACTTTTTTCTTTTTCTCGACAGCATCGATACAGGTTTATTTTTTCTTGGTGGGCACATTTTTCCCGCTAGTTTTTGCACTTGGCTTTTTCGACTGAGGACGTGGGTACGCATCAATCATCCGGCGGAGGAAGTCTGAAATCAATCGAGTGCAAATGGTTTCATTTAGGACAATGAAGGAAGAGGAGGAGAGGGTACAAGCAGAATGCAATGCTGCTTTACATGAAACATACCTGTTTTTATTTATCAGATTGTACTAATCAGTGATTGACCTGAAACGATAAGTTTCTCAAGAGTATTTGGAAAATTTTAGATTCGGATGCCATACATCGTTAGAATGTTTAAAAAAAGTATTTTTGAGACAGGCATGTCCATATTACGAACGAGAACTAAGTTCTCCTCTGAACAATGTGACGTCGCAACGGCAGGGTGTACGCGAGGAAGTGAGGCATCTTTGTCCGCGCTGATTTTATTTGAGGGGGTTTTAACCGTTTTTATTTGCAGAAGAAAACGTATTGCCCTTAGAATGAGTTCAGTGATTGTCCAAATGCAAAAACTATATTGAAATGCGAGAATTGATAAATCAGGAATGAATAACTAAAATCGGGAGCTTGGTTCTTCTAATTTGTGATACCTGGATAAAGCGGGTGTACTGAACTTTCACATTCGGTGACTTCTGGTACACTATTCACCCAAACTAGAAGATTATCGAATTCTTTTTAATCCACTCCGAATAGGGCAAAATACAAAACTTTAAGAAATACTGACCTCATTCATTAGTGGATTTAGACCAAGTTTTATCAGTAAGAAATAAACCTGTTCTATTCAGAAAGTGAACTATACTCTGCTTAAGAGTATCACTTGATACATAGGCTGTTGCGCTCTCGGAGTTGCGAAATGCCAGCCAGAAATGCGTGAACTCTTCACGTTTCTGATATAGAGAACACTTCGCTGAACCACGTGACTGTATCGACATCAGAAGCTTTACGTCATTCGATGACAATATAAAAAGCACTTTATTGGGTGTTTCGAAGTGTACTCTTGATTGAATAGGTAAAAATCAGCAAGTACAAAGCAAGGCGTTGTTGTTAGATCACATCTGAATGGACTAGGGTCTAGAGTGTTTGAACAAATAAGTGAAACCCCAAATGTATCCATATTCGAAAGAGTTGTTTCATGTCAGTGCTTGGCTGGGATTACTTACGCAATGCGTGGGAAGCAACATATGCTACTGCTATTCCTAATGGAAGAAGTTGCCCGACACAGAATCCATTCAATATTGGACATCCACTTTTGGAGCTCATCTACTATTAGCCCTCAGCCTAGTGATATGTATATCATCAAATGACGATACCCTTGCCCGTATTCCCACTCATTCAGACAGCCATATAGATAATTGATAATCCGTCGCTGGAAGAGCTGTTTCAACTCAATCAGAAGAAAATTAAAAGTCCACGATCGAGATTATTACTACTGCCGATTTCATAATACTTCAAAGTATTCTATCTCTGTCCTCTTGATTCTGACAAATGTGATTGACTCTATATTTGACCACAAGAAAGAGCAATCAAGTGTCGTTCACTCTGTCACATTTTTGCCACTGCTGGATCCAGGCTATTGATAGCAGTCGCCATACTCATCATCTAATCGGGAGTAGGATAAAATGGAAGTCAGGCATAGGTGAAGTAACCAAAAATCCAATTGCACACTGAATCATGTTAAACAACACCGTCTTCAGCGATGGCCAGGATATTATAAGGCGCAATGCAACAGGCTACCATCGGTCTTCTAACTTCTCTCTCAATTGCCCTAGTGTTGTGAGATACTACTCACACTTATGAGCAGTTCGCAAAAAGATGCGATTGGCGGTCTCTTTCAACTGTCAAAAATGAACAAGACCTGTTGGAGCGAATTGCTGTGTTTAGTATGGTAACTACAAGAATGCGCATCTAGTGGAACGTTCATTAACTATCCTGTGTGCGGGTGGGAATTCTGAAGACTCGTTCCAAATGAGATATTTGGTTGTATGTATGCCATCTTATCAACACTCTGATCGTTGTTTATAATAAATAACTATCCTCAACCAGATACCGCGTTGTGGAATTATAACAGTAGTACTGCCATTTGGTACTCATTCCCCATATGGGATAGAGATCGCCGGGGGAGATGAGCCAGCGTAAAACCTATGTGAGGTTCCAGCACCGGGTNCATAGACTAGGGCTCAGTTTGGGGTTCAGTATGAAAAAGCGAACCGATTCAGAAAGAGCGATATGAATAGGATTTATTATCGGTTTAAAACGAACGGATCAGATCATCTTGCAAGTCAGTCACTAGCGTTCTACGGTGCCATTCAGATACTAACCAAAGTTTTCCCCTTTATTTTCTAGTCAGTCAGATGGATAGCCAACATGTGGCAGTGAACCAGAAATGGATGAATAATCTCTGTTCAAGCTAAGGCTAAAGTGTTCGTTCGACGCTGTAGAGTGGGATCGCTACTTGCATAGGGGAATATTAACCATTCCCTGTTATAAATCAGATGCATGCAGCCAAATGTACCTCCGACTTAAATGCCATAATGAGTTGTTCTATACAACTCATTAGATTATCTATGATACCTGCAAAAGTAGGCAATACGAACAGTTGGAATAATCCGCCAGTGTTCATGAATCCACCAGGGGTTAGTGAATTCAGGGATTAAGAGATATGATAAAATATGAAATATCATTTTTGTTGGCAGAGAATGTTCATCATTCACTACTCACCATCGTATGGCAGTTTTCCGTCGGCCTGTGGCTTGGCTTCTTTGAAAAATTCCACGCATTCTTTCTCGTTCAGACAATCCCCAACGCTCAATAGAGCGGTCTTCAGTTGTTCCGCGTCGATCACTCCAGACTCCTCCTTGTCAAAAAACTGGAACACAATGACGGATGAGACATGATGAGACGATATTCATCAGGGAATTAATGAAAACATGTATTCTTACCTCTCGAGATCAAATTGCACGATTATTTCATCCATTCTCGTTCATGCTAGCGTAATCACGATATAAATTGCTGCGCGCCAATATCGAGTGGAATGCGGATGCTAGTTTCCAGCATGCACATGTTCAACGAGATTAAATCAATGAGGCAAGTCACCATGGACTGCACATTAGAAAATTATTACAACTGCGACACACTAAACCGACCATCACCGCCACTCACTGATTAAACTATTCACTTTCAGGAAATTCTTCAAATATAACATCACAATATACTCATTTGAGAGCCTACGGCACATAGTACCTTGATTCAGAAAGATTTGTATCTTTGTTCTCTGGTTGACTTTGAATAGTCTTTCTCATTCTGATTCAAATCTTGAATGTGAATTGAGCATGAAGTTACTATGAAGCGACAAAATAGCAGCTGATGCCCCATTTGTTTCATGACCGAATAATAAAATGAATAATAAAGATGTTGATTTATTTATTTGAGAGTGATTTATGCAGTTATTTTTACTACTAAAAAAAGTTATTAAGTTATTAAGTTAAAGTCGATATCCCAAATAAACATTACTTGAAACTCTATCTTGGGAGGTTTTGAACCATATCTGTTGCAATTCTTTCGGCTCAATTTTGAGTTACGTAATCGTTAGACTAATGAGCATAGTCACTCAGGCAACCATCGATCGTTGGCGTCATGTGAAGTTCCTGCACGAAAGCCGACCCCTTGGTTATTAGTTGCCTTTCACTCTTTTTCATTTTACCATAAACTTTCCACGATCGATCGTAGGTATCAGGATACAGCTTTACTTGCACTTTTCCTGCATTATATAATGTTTTCGATTCATGATGTCCGAGTATCAATTTAAGATGTCATGTTGCTATGTGGATAGTACGATAGTGTGATTACCCAATCGTTTCACATTGTACTCGTACTGTTTGTGATGCTCCTGGTGTCACATGCAATCCATCCATGTGGTGATGCCACGTCTTCTGTACAGTCGAAGTTCACTGGGTTGTAGACAAGGTGCGGTTTCTCGCTCAGGTTAGCTGGGCAAGCACCAGGTAGGTATCTTGTTCCGTCTGAATTATCCGACCGATCGATATGTGAACCCGATTGATCGTATGATTTTCGGGCCGGCACAGGAGGAGGATAAGCACTGAATTCGATACTGCTTAAGTGTTGGTAGAGAATCACCGCAGGAGAATCAGTTGTGGAACGATGCACCATGTGTGAAATTCGGAATGGAATACGTTCAAGGGATGATGATACTGGACCAACGTTTGACTCGTCCAAGATACACGCACCATTTTTCTCAGCGGTTTCGGTAAACGGATAAGCATAATAAAACTTTGAATTTGTCGTAAGTACGGACTAAAATATCCACCAAAACAGGCCAGCGCAAAACTCTTCTTGGAAATTTACCAACTGGCTTTTACCGCGTTGAACGATCTTGCTAACTACGTCAGAGATAGAATCCGGAGGAGAGAACAAACATAATGAAAAATGCATATTTTATAAACGTTTTTCAATATGTTTTCCATCCTGCTGGTTGCATAGCAAAGTACGGCGAAGATAGCTTTCTTCCATCTTCAGAACACAAGCAGTTGGAATACTTTCACACTGCTCGATGATGCTGTCTTTTAGCTTCTCGATCGTTCTCAGTTTTCGGGAATAAGCGGTTCGCTTCAGATATCCACATGATTATCGACCCGCAATTATCCAACCGGGTCTCTAAGTGCCTGTTCATAAACCACTCATGTCTTGATCTATGTATGTATTCACATAATACATTCATGAAATCGGCTTTTTCACACTAGCGTAGCTGTGCAAACAGTTGATTATAATTTGTGATTGACCGGCCTGGTAAGCGAGTCTCCAATCGATCGATAACATCTGTATCACTGACAAGCCTCTTAGAGCACAGATGAAATTAGGCGAACCACTGACCAGAGATAAGCTTAAGTAGGGTCTAACGCGCCCGTCACTGTGTTTCAGTGTTGTGTATTGGAGAGAGGAATTCAGAATCAGTTTCTTGTGGCTTCGTGATTAATTTCAGATAACTCGACCAGTAGGTTGATTTCTGACAACTCTTCGGCGTACGGCTGTGGTCCTAGCGCCACCTATCGTGTTCACTTTGATACGCATTCCTGTCGGCATTTGTCACCTGAGGCATATTCATTGGAATCTTCTTCATCCGTATTCTAACTGAACTTTGGCATCTTGTGAGTAATTTCGGTGCTCCAGGGTCACCGACACGGCCTTTGACATGGTGCTTGTAGTCTGATTCCGTCACTTTCACAAGTGCGCTTGGTTTCCGTTTCCCCGGCCTTCTTAACTCCCTCATCGCTTTGTTGTGTAGTCTGGCAAAAGTTTGCTTGTCCGTCGTGTTCTCGATAGAGAAAGTTCAATTTGCTATTCCGTCAACTTGTGGCTCATATTCGCGGACTGTCTTCTCTACCGAATTCGAGGCTTCTAATGACTCTGTTGACTAAAGTTCTGCAATATAAACTGCGGCACATGTGTCAGACGAACATGGCACTTTCTGATCCCCTAACTCCATAGAGGTCTGGAATGAACAATACTCATTTGTTCCGCAGAGAGCCTTTTCCGTGGATAACGGTTTGAACGGAATTTGGGATTCTTTCAGAAATGACTAGCGCTGTGTTTCGGGGCAATTTTTCGGCCAGCATTCTGGATCATCAAGCTCAAAATTCTTCTCGACAGCTCTTTGTTCGTTATCGGTTCGGATGGACGCCACCTCCTTTGTTAATTGCTTGAAGGTTGCTGTAAATCCTTTAGGCTGGCATCCATGGCCT